AAAAAAAAAAAAAAACATCTGTACTTTTTGTACAACAAAATGTACATCCAATTTTCATTTCTAGAATCGGTTATGAAATTTTCCAAAACATAGCATTTTCTTTTAAGCATTGTTGACATTCATGTGTAGATGCAGTGCAAAGTATAAAGACATCAAGCAGAATCAACTTGTGGTGATTGGAAATAATTTTTTTTAGTTTCTATTTGTTTTACCTGATAAAGTGAGTTAATTTTGAAAAAAGTTGATTGAGTTGAGATTTTGAGTTAGGTTTTAAATAATAATTAATATGTAATTATTAAAGCTGGTGCTATATAAAAGTATGAGAGATGTTATGAAAAATGATAGGTAGTTAAATTTATGTGAGTGGATGAATAATGAATTAAAGTTGAAGTGATATGTGAGTGATTGATTGATATTATTTAATTATATTTGATAATATTGAGGAGGTTGGGTTGACTTTTGAATTAAAAAGTTGAAAGAAAAAATATCCGGCCAGAAATAACAAATTTATTTTATGATATTTTTACTTGCTTGCACTGAACTCTTTCTCTTCATCCTCTTACCTGAAGAGCTTGTTTGCCAGAAGTTTGAAACTGAGCTTGGATTTGCCTAGCAACAGTTGCTTCGAGTTTGGAATTGACAGATTTCTCCAGTTGATTTACAGCTTTATCACCGACACCTTTCTGATCATACAAATCATGTCTGTTAGAGTCCACGCCCTACGATCAAATATCCGATACACAAACAAAGGCACAGGTAAAATGTTAACCTGGAAGCTCTCAGCAATGGTGGTGGATACTATCTTCTCTATGGTGGGAGTGATTGTTCGCGCCACAGATTGTCCCAGGGCAGCCAGTTCTCTCTTTACAGTTCTCTCAATAATTACAGGTAGGTCCTTGTTTAAGCAATTGTTGATCATATTAGTTAATTGTTGCATGCGCTCCCTTACAGCCTTGTCCTCCTTAACATTCTCCTCTTGAATACGGGCCCACAATGCATCAACATTAGATTTGACAGCTTTCTCCATGCTCCGCCCCAATGCTGCCTCAAGTCTTTTGCCTTCTTTGTTGACTGGGGCAGCAACCATTGCCGCCATCTGCTTCTGCATTTCTTTTTGCATAGATACAAGCTGCAACAAAAACACAAAACACAACTACATTGAGATCCATTTACATTAGGTGCATCCACCTGCAATGAAGCTGCTCTATAGCTAGATTCACAGTGATGAACCTATTTGACCATAAGTATGGCATACATTATCCTTCAGCTTACCAACAATGGTACCATAAATTTTGAGTAGAAATAATAGAAAAACAATGGGTCCCTTTAGTAACAAGGAGTTTCGTATAACTTCCACATGAACTGTAATCAACTAGGGCAACAAAACAAAAATGTCAAAGCCACGAGCCGATATAACTTGAAGATAAGGAAAGATAGAGGATTATTTGAACACCACTTCTTAGACTAGAAACTTCTAAAGAAGCATATAACAAACTGAAAGACAAAAGGATGAAGAATGACAACTGATGAAAGGTTAATGATCACTAAATTCTATAAACATGTGTAAGTCAAAAAGTAACTAACTGAAAGGCACCTGATTCAGCATCTCTTGCATGGAATATATCTGTGGGAATGCATTCTCTATTGGTATACTTAAGCAAACACCTTGTTCAGTTGAGGAATCTGTTGAATTGAAAGCACTTTGTGATGGTGATGATGGCCCTGATCCTTGACCACTCTTACCCTTCTGCTTTTGACCTTTTACACTCGTTGAAGGTTGTTGCTGAGCTGGTATAGGAGTCGATGAATCAGTCCCCTGCCGAGAAACATCCTTCACAGATTCATGGACCTCATCTGCAGTTGTGGATTGAGCAATTGTTTCAGATTCACCAGTCCCATCAAACTGCCTAGCTTCACCGACAGTATAAGCTTCAGTAGATAAAACACGACATTCTCGAGCCACCTCAGTTCCTGGATCGGATGCTTGAGAGCAAAAGGATTTTTCCTTAGGTTCTGTCTTCTTAAGTTCTGGGGGAGGTCCCATATCATTACTTTGACTAAATCTCGTCTCACCCACAACTTTTACCTCCATCTCAACATTTCTGGTGTCATTGCTGACGACTACATCTTGAAAATTCACATCAGTATCACTTCTGGGGTCAACGGTGTGGCTCACTTCAGAGACCGAATTGGCCATTAAAATTTCGGAAGGTGTCACCAAATGAGTCGGGTGCTTGAACTTAACCGGTTGGTTGACAGCTGCAGGCTCGTCTTGGAAGAGTTCGTTATCACCATTCCTTGAATCACCATCCAATGAAGCAACATTTGATAGGTTTGCATGAACATCCATTTGCCTGTCAACTGAGTATTCGACAATTTTTGGATCCGAACCACGATCACTGGTTGAAAAACCATGGCCACTCAATTGACTTCTGAAGCCAGAATGTGTCTTAGACAACCTTGGGCTTAAAGGAAGTGGAGGTGAAGCAGCAGAAGAAACGCCATCATTAGCAACCTCAGGTTGAGTAACTAATTTTGTTTCAGTAGCTGAAGTGAACTCCTGTGGCATGGGTGACTCAGCAGGAGCATGGATAACAGGGTATCTCACTGCCGATGCACCATCCAATCCACTTTCATGGATGGATACTTTAGGAGCAGAACTAGATATGGATAACTCAGTTGGTATCCCACTAGAAGGTTCTACATCTGGAGCAGTAGCAGCATCCAAAGAGACATTGGAGCCTGATTTCTCAAAGACGACATTCTCCAATGGAGGCGGCAGACACTGCGACAAGTCTAATGCATACTGCTGAATTGCTTGTGTCTGGACACAATATACCTGAACAATTTGATCACCATGAGGAAGCAACTCGCTTGTCCCTGTGAAACTGAGTATTGGCATGGTAACCGTAAACTCTGCTATATAATCCATGTGGGTTGCCTCCGGGTTAGGACCATATTCCAGGTGCACAGCATATATAGCATTCCTCTTGGCATTCGCCAATAAAATAAGACCAGCTTGCGACAATGCTACTACTTGATTGAAAAAAGCTTCCTCTGCTCGAGCCTCTGAACTCTTCAACTCGAACGTTTGAGTACAACGCCATGATTCAGCGTCACTAGGAAGCAACCAACCTTCTTCACTTGCTGATACCCAGATCTTTACTTCCCGATTTAGTGGTCCCTGAACATATTTCCTTGTAAGTTGGGTGTAAGGTAATAAATATAGAAGCCAAAATAGATTCAGCAAACAAAAACTTTTCTAGATAAAAGTGATGTTAAACAGCCCCTCCCTCCATGGAAAACTTATCATTTACATTCAACTGCAACTCTATAAAAGATACAGCATTACACAAATATTGAGAACTTCAATAATATGTACCCCTGTGATGAGTATGATATGATCTGGTCGATGAGGAGCAGCCAAAAACGTCACAGAATTAACAGGCAGGCCATCATGTGGCCGAAGAACTGCAACAGGTTGTGACTTCCGATCTTCCCAAATCTTAATCTGCAATCAAAACCAGAGATCAATGGAGAGAGCTCACAGTTTAAGGGCAGTATCAAAGACCAAATTACGTACAGTAGAACTAGTTATCCAAGCACGGTATGGGTATATTAATCACCCACATCAATCACAAATACCAATATCAGACTGCTATTTTTTATTGACAAAATCAGCAAAACAGTATTCAACTGTATAAGCAACACTTGCAGTTTAAACTATGGGATAGTTAATCAAACACTTGCAGTCACTTGGTTAGCACAACAGGATAGCCACTGATTACATAAGGCCAGTCAGCTTATGTTCCATACCGTACCAAGAGGTGTGTGCAAAGCACCAAAAAGTGCAGGATTGTTACTTTACCAATGGAAAAATCCACTAGAGCCAATTCAGTTCATCAGAGTGACTTCTCATTTATTAAAAAAAAAAAAAAAAAAAAAAAA